CTTTTTGTTTAAAAAAAAAATGGAAAGATTTTGCAAAAGCTTGTTTTGGCGTTCAGATGCTGGCGCAGTTCAGAATACACTGGACACCATGGTAGACAGTGTGAATGCGACCACCGAACTAATCCAGCGGAAGCACAACCAATATGTATGTTTCCTCCGTTCTTTTTTTCTTCAAGCAGTCCTAATTTTGTCTAAATTCAGTATTTTTCGGCATGTTTAACACATGTTTATAACAACCGTTAAATTCCCTGGAGTGTTTTCCAGGATAAACAATACACGAAGTCAAGTACCAAATGAGATCTGAATAAAGTTTTAACTGATTTTTTGATGGTTGTCCATAATTGGCACAAATGGCGGGTTGACATTTTTTTGAAACATTTTACAGGTTATGGAGCGCAAGTCGTTCCAGACTGAAATGGAAGTTACTGGAAGGATTTCAGTAGAGCCAACTGAAGACCTGCGTTCCACTCGGCTTAAATCTGTCAGCACCGAGGATATGCAAAAAGAGCTCGTCAAACTGAAAGACGATCAGAGTACGAGCTTTTTCGTTGAACCGAATAAGATCTTATCAACTCATTCTGTGTAGTATTTCCTCACAAACCTCAGGAATACCCCATGTTTGCATGACATCAATAGATATTCAAGCTTATTGCACTTTGATCACCTGTCATTGTATTGAAGCGCGCTTTCTCTTTTCGAAAAAAATTCGTAGCTTGATTAAAATTCTACTAATTTATTATTAATATTTTTTTCTTAAGTGAAGGAAGTTACTGTCTCTCTAACCTGATGACAGCGTGCGTCTTAGAATTATTGGATAATCTGATAATTGTGGATCATAAAATACAAAAAGTTTCAGTAACTGTCGATGCGAGCCAAAAAATGCGCATGTTTTTTCGCCAGGTTCCTTAAAATGCACATTACAACAGGGCGGGGTAGTCTAATCGTAGGATGCTTATTTTGATACTTTGATCAGTTGCTGCTCATCTCCGCGTTTCTTCTCACTATTAATGCTGCTAATTTCACAGTTTTTAATGCATTTTTGAATTGCAAAAACGCATATTGGCAAGAAGCTGTGTGTGTGTGTGTGTGTGTGTGTCTATGCGCTTGCACTTTTTGTCACCCACTTTTAACTTGAGAATTAGAAGAGCTAGAAGGCTGAAGCTTTGGGAATATGTGCCCAAACCATGTGCGATCCGTCCGTTTTAATATCATAACTCATGTACGTCTGGGTCCCAAGTACGAACGCTTCAAAAAATATACAAATTTTTGGCGGGAAAGCGATCCCGAGAACCAGAAAAGATAGCGAGTTGAAACTTTGCAGGGACATTCTCTATACATCCTTGAGCTAAAGATTTTAAATTCATTCGGCAGGGTCCGTTGTTCACAAATACAAGAACATGAAAGCTTTGGCGGGAAAACTGCTAACTAGCAACCAGAAAAGCTAGAAGGCTGAAAAATTAAGGAGATCTTCCCTGTGTACGTGCAATTTAAAGATTTCAAATTCATTCCCCAGGTACGCATGGCACTCACGTACAAGCACATGAAAGTTTTGGAGAGAAAACTGCTAACTTGGAAGCTTGAAAAGTTAGGAAGCTGAAATTTTAGAAAAATATTCTCTGCCCAAACACAACTTAAAGGTTTCAAATTCAGCCTTCAGATATGCGTGGTTCTCGTGTACAGGCAGTCAAATTTTTTAGCGGGGAAACCGCTCATTGAACAGCTAGGACATTTTCAAAGAATGACTGCTAAACGGAAATTATTTTCCTTTATGTAAAATTTACGATGATTTACGGTAGTGAGTGCACAAGGTATGCGTGTAGCAACAACCATTCATACAATTGACCTAATTATTTAAAAATTTGGTGCAAAAACGCATGACCGTACCGGCAAACTTGAAACTTTCCATCATGGATCCCGATTTTGGGATTCCCTCGTCCGGGTCTTTCGTACTGGCGTTCAACTTGATCCTTCTACCACACTGGCGGCCCCTTGGTTGGTGTAAGTACCATTCAATAATCCGCATTGCTTATTTGTTGCTTTCATTCATGCTACGTAAACATCCCATCTGTTCTTCCTGACGTAGACTGTCTTGACAGAAATCAGTCATTTTTTGATATGACATTTCAGAGCTATTCATTCCGAACAACGGCTTTTATTTTCTTTTTCATCCTCTTTTTTCGGGTTCAGCTGTCTCAAAATACTGCCACTTCAACAGGCATGTGGTGGGTTTTTTGCAGAGCAAAATGCAGTAACAGATACCTTAGCTGCCTTGGTTTATGACATCGATGCAACAGCTGAAGTGCTACGACGTGGATCGCTGAAGAAAAAGAAAAAAATCATCGGAGAGGTCAGCACATTGAGTGTGTTTTATTAGCACATTGAGCTTGTTTTAACAAAATTTTTCTTAAACTCATTGCCTCCATCTCTTCTCATCCACATCGACCATAAGATTTGAAATTATTCATTATTTTTTTGGCATATCATAAGCTGTAAGTTCAAGTTTTGCTCGAGCCTTATGTTCAAGCCTGCCAACGGGATCGCACTACGATTCGTTTATTCATTTCAGTGATAAATTGTATTGGCATACAGCAAATAA